GGCGAAGATTTTATTCACGCTGGAACATTAGCGTTCCAATGCCGCAGTATGGTTCTGGGTGAAATTTTTGTCTTGATCGATTACCGTTTCCTCGTACCTCATGACATGTTTCCATATGACCGCATTGACTAATGAATAAACCTTATCCATTACTTTCATACTCGCAGAGATATTTTTCCACCGAAGTGAGAGAATGGAAAGCAGGCATGCGGTGCTATAAGTGGGTGTGCAAAACACTGGAAGCTCAGCTAAGCGTTTTCAATTAAAGCCCAAACTTAGATAAAGCGTAATAAATTTACCCTCCCAATTTTGGCAAGGTTGGATTGTATTGGGCACCTCGTAAGTTTGACCCCCTTTACAGGCTGTATAAGTCGATTAACTAGACGCCAGCCCTCAACCGATTTCGGGTTTTACACACCTCAATGTCTAACCGATGGCTAAGGTTTTGAATCCTCGAAAAAAATTCATTCGTCTTAGACTTGGAATCCTGGGAACATTCTGCCCGAGATCAAACGCTGGACATATTTCTTTATTCGAAAGGTTGTTGTGCCGTAATTTATTTGACTCATAGTCTGAACTCAGACCAGTGTCGGATGTAATAATATAACAAAAAATATTTAACCACTCATCCATGCAGGCTCTAGTGTGCTCATACTAACTTAGATCAATCCCGTTTTCATTTGCACCAACCCACTTTTATGCAGTCATAAATATCCTGGATGGTGGAAACTTCCGCAAGCCCCCTCCGGGAGCTAACTTTAAAATTGATTAACCAGGTAAAACGACCACAGGAGTCTATCGAGCGTTGCTGTTCATTCAATGCACTTCACTCAGTATGCATGTTGATAGCTGTTAGCTTACTGTAAGCATTACAAAACACTGTGTTCGGTCTACCTTGTGCAACAGTCAGACGATCTTGGCTAGCAAGCAAATTTACTACCCGTTAACTCAGTGATCATGAATCGCGTTAGTCGATGAGCCTGTTCTGAAATGGGGAACGATAGTCACTATGAGTTAAACATGAAAGGAGTATTTGTTTGAAAGGTTTTGCAAACCCCTTTTTCTGATTCATGCCACCATTCACAATGCGTGCGATTTTCCAAAATTTTCCGCTGAATATGCTGAACAACAAGTTAAAAAATGTTCTGTAACAAAGACAATCTATGCTTGTGGCACCAGCTGAAAAAGTATCCCCAAATGAAGTTTAACGAACCTGCAGTACCGGATCATGAACGCCTACCGCAGCATATGTTACACTGCTTGTATCATAATAAAGTGATCAACTAAAGTGAAAGTCTCCAACCATATCCAAGCTTCCGGCTGCGGCAAAACAGGTGACCTTGAAAAACCTGACTGATATATCTTGTTCTTAATTGTCTGGAAACGATTTAAATTTCCTGATCGAAATCCATGTTTGGTTCATCTGTGATACAGGCTGTCTCAACGGTTATGCAAATCAAAAAGAATGTGTTTGACTTCATAAGTAATCAATCCGTATAAATGTCTGCTTGGATTGGATATCAGACTATGAACCAAACAGAGTCTTGAGAAGCACACTGCGTTTTGTACCATATATTCTGCAATATGACTGTTAGACCTTATTGTCCCTCGTTGGTTTCAATACGCGATGGCTTCTAATACCGTACAAGAGGGTTCGTGTTTATCGATAACTGCGGATGAACCACAAATAGATTGGATGGCTCCTGTGCAATGCAGATATTGCCTGATTTTTCTCAGCGAATCGCCTCCCTTAAGTCTATGCAGTCGGTCAGTTTAAGTAAAAATAGAGTTTCTGTAACAAATAAAGTGAAGTTTTGGCATTTTTGACCAGGTGCGGTGAAAAATGTATATAAAAGAATTGAAAGATGGTAAAACAATTGCATGAACTAAAAAGAAAACTAACATGATAGGGGACTTATCAAGTCGGAAATGATAGATGTTGGATTTACTTGGATACGGACAAGATAACAGATAATTCGACTTCATCAAACGCGCCTAAATTTGGTACGAGTTTGGAGCTGAGATAGGTCTGGTGATGGACGCACCGATAAGAATCTTCATGAGAATTGTATAGAAAGGTATTTGACTGGTAAATCGATCACGTGTATTAGAATGCTTGCTGACAAAAAGACCGAACAAGACATACTTGAGATTACCAGTTCAATGGGAAAGAAATTCATTGGACAAAGTCTTTTCCTTCCGGATCGAAAGATAATACTAAGCGGCAGTATAACCTATAAAGAGGACTTTATTCTTTCACAAATTTCAGATTCACATTAAGAGGAACGGCGAACATTCAAGTCTGAGAGCGTAGAAAGATATTTTTCAAATTCCATCAGTAGTAGTAGTAGTAGTAGTAGTAGTAGTAGTAGTAGTAGTAGTAGTAGTAGTGCTCTTAAAGTGTTTGAACCAAAAGATGTGACACGATAATTCCGAGGTAGTAGTCTGCCCTGGAAATGACTTTATTATTATTAGCACCTTTGTGGCTAGTTTCGAAAAACGATCCGATAATGAGAATTTGTTTTAAGTCTAGATGGAATTGCAACGAATTTTTGGACATCAACCATCAGTGATCCGGGCTTGGATCAATTAAACAATTGGTTTAGGAAATCTTGGAGTTGGTGGACATCATCAGGATCAGTTGAGGGACATCCAGTGACAACATCATCAGCGTAATTGCATGCGATACAGTTTCCAGGGCTAGATAGATTGTTTATATACACAGAAAACTGAATGAAGGCAAAATGGCACTCTGAAAATCCATGGAAAATCCAAGTGTAGTGACCAGTGAAATGGCTCCGATGAGAGAAGCAAATCATAAATATACTCAACACATCAAGTCTCAGGCCACAATCAGACAGATGTTGAATGAGAATGTCAGGGTCAAGTGATTCAGCAAAATTGAATGAAATTTACGACTCACAGTATCTGAGGAGGAGGTGACGAAGTAAATAACGTCAGAAACAATATGTTGAAGTAACTTTAAGAAGAACAGGGGAGTCATGCGGTTTACCAGTGTTCCTCCGAAGAACTTCGAGAATGATCAGATACGATCAATCTTTTGGTAATTTTAGGAACTCTTTTGGAGATGTATTTTTCCCCGGCAGAACTAAAGCAATCAGGGGTATTTCTGAAGACATACACAAAATGAAAAGTCCTGCAGCAATAAAGGAAATCTATTTGGAACAAACTTTAAGCAGGACGGGAGATCGTGAGTTATGGCCATATGCCTGTAGTTTGTTTCGAAGAGCTTCAGAACCTCCAGAACCTCAATCGTGGCGACAAACTCGATCCCTTCAGCGGATAAAAATTAGGGTGGTATTGAGTTAAATACAGAAAGAGTAACTACTTGACTATTTATCTCTGGCACATCTACGGAGCTGTTTCGTTCCTGATTACACTTCACGACGGTTATCTTTTCCCATGATAATTTCAATTTACAGCCGACTCAAATGTATGCCATATCTTCATCTTGATGGAAACTGGTGCCTGTTTCACAGCAATGCATCTGTCAGTCATTTAACTCTACATAATCACGACAACGGCGTTTTAGTTGATGCGATCTGAATCTGTCGGTAAGAAGGCATAAATTTGCAACCCAATGAAACAGATTGATGCAAAATTAAGATAATGGGCAAGATCTTAACAGCTGAAAGGGATACTAGTACTGGAAAATAACACAAAAAAGCTGGTCGAAGACACCAAGTCTTTAAGCCTAGCGAGGTTATCAGAAGAACCATTTCTCGTTCGTATGATTCGGGAGGCAAGACAAGATAGTTGATGAAAACATCTGTCATAAAGTTTTCGATTGCAAAGCAAATATTGTTTTGATCTGAGGTGCTATTAGAAATCAGGTTTCTTGAAAAAAAGATTTCAGAGTTTAAGGCATTAGGTTGAATAGAGATTCGGGCGGGGGAACTTGACATACCGAACGTTGTTAAGAAAGACCTGATAAAACGGTTCACACTACTTTGGTTAACAAAGCGACCATTTTGCTACCTCTATTTAAAAATGCCACTATTCTGATCACCTTGGGAAATATCAAACTCATCAAATCGAAAGACTTCATCCTGAATTTTAGCATGTAATCAACTCTTCTGGAATAGGATCACTCTCAGCTTTTTGCATTCCCTCTTGACGGCACCGAGCTTCCCCACGAATGAGCCAATGATACTGAAAATAAAATATTGTTCGCTCATTTTAACAACGGAACGACGCTCGAGCACCACACACGCCAGTAATCACAATGGTAAAATAGAAAAGGTCATGCAGAAAAACGGCATACAGAAATCACTGAATTTTGAAGAGAGCAATTCAAACTCTCAAGACGGTATTTTTCAGGTCTATAGAAGTTCTTCGTTGAAGGTCTTAATAAAATACGCCGCCTGTGATTTTCTATGGCTGATTCATTGAATAGACAAAAATCTTCTGGAAAGTTTGAAGCGTTGCTCCCTCCCGCTTCGCATTTTCTGTCAATTTTCTAGTAACACCAAACGTATTCAATGGTTAAAATAAGCAAAATCCTGTTTTTCTGAAAAAATAGCATCACTGAATCACCAATCAAGTAGATCAACAACCTAACCGGAATGAAATCTAAAACAACGAAGAAAAAATGAGATCTACCGACTTAGTCATGTGGAAGGTCTAGTCTGCTCAAGTTGCGCATCAATGCTCCACATAATTGAGCTATCTTCCTCTATAATCATGTATTTCCAGAATTTCTTTACTGAGTACCTTGATGGAGGCTCGGTGCTGCTTATTTCCAAAAATTATTACTGGTAATAGTAAATACAATACAGCATCTTCTTAGCCGTACATGAATGTGCTACACAATAAACCAAGATGTGGCACCGAAATCACGCACGCACACAAACACACTGAGAGTCATACATATCTTGTTTGTCTAGCTTTATTTCACTATACAATTCAAGGAAGATCTAGTCTTCATGGTGAGCTTAAAAATTCCAATCAAAACTTTTTGCGCCAGTCAGCTGCAAACTTCAAGCCCGTGGAATGTTTAATAATAAACTTACCGGTGGCATAGCGGAAGCAAGCTGATTTTGCAGTTTATCGCGTTCCCGTTCTGTTTCGGTCAGACGTGCTCGTGTCAAACTCAACTGCTCTTGTGCTTCCCGCAAACCTTCCATTAATCGATCACGCTCATCCAGCATGCTGAGAAGCATATCCTCCACGTTCGCACCTTCATTGCTGGCCGTGGAGTCTCGATCTCCCTGTACAGATTGCAAAGAACTTACATTAGTTACCATGGCTGTACAAGCAAGTTTCGGACAAAAATAAGTAACTTCAAAAACCTGCTCATTTAGGACCATTAGTATCAGGGGCCGTTTAATCGCCTTGTTGTTTCCTTACCGATTCATAGTGGGAACAGATTTGAACCGCAACTTACATGTGATCCCACGTCCTCTGTGATAGTTGGTAACATATCACAAATCATGCTGGATCACTCGACAGAATGATCACTAGACGTGTGCGTTTGGGATAGATTGATCTCAGATTTCACGCGTTCCTCGGTGACCCATTAGGAGTACAAAGATAAGTTGAATCGGATCCATCTCCGCTTCTCTGAAACAGTAAATTAATTCCACATAAAATACAGTTGATCAATTTGTTCACATTATAAAATGATCATTGTTGTTGTGTCAGACAAATCAAATCATCAGGCACATCCAGTGATAAAAACAAAAATGTTCTTTCTAGATTGCGTTTGCAAATTAATCAGTTCTTCCTTGCTATTGATCCAGTATGGTCATTTCTCACCTATATTAGGCTGCTAAAAAGACAACTGATGCTTCGTTTATACTCAATAGCTTCCAGAATGCAGATCATGGACCTTAATTGGACATCCGAATCCTGGAAGAAAGCTTAGTGCATTTACTCTCTCAGGTTACCCGATTGACTCAGTTGTCTGGTATATGCATACCAGCATGGCATTCTACTTGTGTTGCAACAGGAGTCACTGAACAAAAACCATCTTCCAATTAGTTCTATTATTCTACAATTTCACAAAACCCGTAAGGGAACCGAGAACTTCCAGGTGACGCTGCTGGCATTAGAACCATTCGAGGCGTCAGTGGAAAAATTGATTGTTTTCCTAATGAATTCAATGTAGATTAAAGTCTGAGTGAATGACTATCTCATTTACGACCTCGATTGTTTCCGTGTCTAGCACGTGACCGGTGTAGCAACATTCTGTGGGCGCACCATTGCTCGCCTACGGTCAATCTGCAAGGGTATGTGATTCAATGGATAAGTGATTCATCTCTCACAAAGGAACAGGATGCTCTTACTAGCCACTTCATCATGATAGTCAGTGTTTGTCTTTGAGTGAGACGGCACATATCCCTAGCTTTATAATTGTGATCTTCATACTAATGGGACTAGATACGAGTTACTAGAGTATGAACAAGGATCAACTAATCTACTCGGTTTGATCGAATTACCACAGTTTTATACATTGCGTCCGTCAGGGTTGGACTACAGGAATGAGTAGCAATAATGTCTTCAAGTTATCTCAAGATTTTAGAAAACAGGCAGAAATCAATTTAGGAAATACCCAGTGAGCTTGGTTGTGAAAATTCGAAGGCTGGAAGTTAATTGATTTTGAAAATTCAAAAAATTTCACAAAGATACTGTTTGATTTACTGGTGTACTCCTGGGTTATTCTCATTTATACATCAAGCCCATCCGGCATACATTTCGTCCATCCATCGTGAGGAGTCCTAATTCGAAGCCGTTTCCGTATCGCACCGTGTGTTTAAAGTGCACCTTTTTGAGACTCCAGAGGTAATCCAAAGATTGGAGTATCGAAAATCACGTTCATTGTACATGATATGTCAGTGAGAAAACCCTTCGATTATCCCCGGTCATTGACTCCTCTATTAACCAGTTCCAAACCACGGACAAACATGGAACTTTAGTGAAGCTAAGCCGGTGGTTGACATTTAAGATAGCGCCCACAGGGGACTCAGAGGAACCCATTCATAGGTTGAAATCGATTGCACAGTATGCTAGGTAAATGTGATTGAGTGAAGGAGAGAACAGTGTGTCGAAAGCTGATTGTTTAGAAGGGTAGTGTAAATGACAAACCTTAAGTTATCGTTCAGTGGTCGAGGTGAGAAACGATGCTTGATGGATCCATTGATTCGCGGATCTGTGTGGTGTAACTGCACCAGTGCGTGGTATATGCGAGTTTGTGATTGGTTAATCTCAACAAAGCACTTACACAAAGATGAAAAGCAATTAGGAGAGCTATCCCGATGTTGACAAATTGTCAGGGAGATTTTCGGTTCCATGGCAAAACGAGTCTATAACATGTACGATACTCTCATTGTTATCATTGTTGCTGTTGATCCTGCAGTAGTCCCCATTTTATTCATGATGAAATAAGTGCGGAAACCGCGTTCTTCATACCTTTTTGCGAATAAAATTACCAGAACCGTGTATCTCCGAACTAGTTGCTGATGTCTTATCTTCATCTCATTTTTACTTCCTTCTATTAAACACGTAATGATAAAACTCTCAGGAATGGGGAAGCGGCCAACTGGATGGCTAGCACTTCCTCAGTTTGATTATTATCGGTATACAGAATACGCTGTAAGTAAATTATTTAAACAGTGAGATTTAAAGTTAGAATGCCGTAAAACTACACTCATTTCTTCTACCATTAATCTGGTGAACGAAAATCCTTATATTTCAGATTACTGTTGGTAAATGCCTGCAATTACTTCCTTGTGTGGCTGGTGTTATTTTCTTTGCCTACAGCAGATCAATAGTGGTCGGCTACACGAAGCACATAGTACCAACTAGTGGTTACAGAGCCCTCTAATGTTTTCTCTGTTTGAAATTTCCTTAAAGAAAAATTAGCTGTCCATTTTGCCTTTGCTCATTATGGGATCAAGTTTACGAAAAGACAGTAGAGAAAATGTGTGAAAGAACTGAGAAACGCAATTGGTTTCCACCATTAAAAGAGATAATCATCATTTTATCGGCAACAACCGGGATCCATCAAAACAGTTAACGAAATAAATCCAAGCAGCTAAGAAGTAGGTTGATGTTCCAAATCGATTTTCATGACTAACAAGCGTCAGAAGTTGGTCGTTTTCCCTTTGCCGGAGTTCGTCAACAGTGCGTAAATGTGGCTCTGTCGGGATCCAACAAAGTACGAAATGAATTTTAATGGTTTTTGGAACCTCGCGTGGGCTAAATTGAAAATGATATTTTTAGTTTCAATGCTTTAAGTAAATAGTTCCAATTATCCTTTCTTCAGTGCACATTTAGCATTCTCTCAGTCAAACTTCTCTCCATCTCATCACCGGTTGTGTGGGAGGATTTCCTTCTACGCGCGACCACATGAGAAAAAAGCTCTCAATATGAACTTGGCATTGCTTCAAAAGGATATATGTGTCACCGCCTAGTGATAGAAACGTTACAACAGTTGACGGAATACACTCAGTGGCTACCTAAGCTGATGAAGCGGGAAATAGATGTCACGTTTTGTCATCTGCATTAAGGTGATCTGCAGTGTGTTTGCAAGTAACAAAACCATTTTTGTCCGAATATACCGTCAATACACATTGTGGGAAAACAAAGAGTAGCAAACCGATGTTTTTCAATAATTCACAGAGTAAAATGCTAGTACAAACGTAGCTTGGTACTGATTACGACAAATATAAGTAGATATCGGTACGCAATGCACACTGTCTGTGGTTCGGCACGTTTTCTTTCATTTTCAAAACCAATAGTCACCCAGCACAGCGCGGTTGTAAAAAGATAGTAAAACAACTTGAAAAACCGCTAGTCTCCTTTTATTTGAACTTTCATCTCTGTTTCAAATTGGTTGGAATAGAAATGCGTGAGTTAACAAATTAGTCTGAACTTTCTTTTTTCTTACATTGTATTTATTTTAATTCGTCAAGTCCTTACTCCTAATATCCGCTCTTTCGTTTTCATTCGAGGTATTTTAGCCAACAGTCTGAAGAAACAAAATAAATAACAACAAGAGCTTGACTAGTGACATCTGGACAATTTTCCAAAATCTTGTAACCACATGTACAACCTCAAACACCCAATTATATTTTCTTATCCAGAAAACTTCAAGCATGAAAGTAAACACGATCGTTATTACAAGGTCCACTGGTCAAGGTATTTTTGCATTTACGATAGATAATGGTCTGACAAATCTTGACTTCCTCCTAAGTGTGCAGATTTAAGCAAATTTTTATCATCAGCGAAAGTTTATGCGTGTAACTTGACTCATTCACAATCGATTGCGGTAGCGTTACGCGCAATTGGTCAAAACGAGGTTTGATCTGAGCATCGCTTATTAAATGGTGCCGACCAATTCATGTAAATTTCAATAACAATGCAATTTCGCTATCAACAAACGGCCTTTATCGATACGAATCTCCTGTACCCATTACTTTGCACCATGCAACAGGACTACGCAGACTGTTGCAACATATATTTTGACCTCTAAAGTCCTTCGATGATATAAAACAGATACCGTAAATTTAGTGAGTTGGGAAAAATAAGCCTCTTTATGAACATCGACATCAGTCGAAGTTGCTTTCGTCAAACATCTGTTCTTTCTCTTTGTTATGCGAAAAATAAAAACTGTGAAAAGGAATAAAAATTTAACCTTGCATGAGCGTTTTCCTTTTGAAGTAGAATACATGCATCCCAAACCCAACTATACAAAGACTCAGACGTTATAAAACAGCTGAAAACTTAACCGAGGAACCCGTAAGCAATAAATTTATTTTCACTATTGTATAAGTTATCTTATCTCACCGCCTGAAATGTCATCATACTAAGTTACTCTCATTTGTTACTAGGGTAGTCTCTGAAATCACATTCACCACACTTCTGTTATAAAATCAACTTAAACAAACTTTGGTTATTCGCCTATCAAAAGTATAGCCAATACTCCATACCATTTAGTTAGAGGGGGTAGTGTCACTTATGGAGAAGGAAAAATAGACTTTTATCCCCTATATAAGGCATCTTTTGAAAGAAGTAAAATAGTTTCTATTTCTCAAGTGTCTACGGTGCAGTTATGGAAAATTAGCGGACAGTGGCACGATCATCGTCTAAATCAATAATGTTTGAAATTGTCCATTCAAACAGTTTCACTTATTATTTTCAATCTTTTCAAAATTTTATTTAAAAATGGGTGCCGTTTGAAACAGAAACAAAGTATTTCTTGCCAGTGCATTCAGTTTGAGTTAATAAATTCATAAAAAAGTTA